CACACACACACACACACACGCAGGCACGACTCTGGCTGTTCTGGTGCATGGAGGAGGGGTGAGGAGCCGCTGCAGGTGCCAGGCGGGGCAGAGGCAGAGCCAGAGCCGGCGTCTCTTCCTCCCCGGCTGGCTTCATCACATGTAAAATGGGTTCAGGAGCATCTTCCCCACAAGACCAGTGAGCAGACTCGCCTGAGTGTGTAAGGGCCCGGGGTGCACCTGTGATACCTGCCGGCCTCCACTGTCCCTCCAGGGACTGAGATCCATGAAGGTGGGACAGGAAGGGTAGGGATGGCATGAGAAGAAACCACACTCAGGATACATCAAAACAGGCCAGGATAAGAAGCTCAAAACAACTCACCACGCTTACTAGAAAGCAAAGTCACTCAGCTCACGGGGCGCTAACAGGGAGGAATGGCTGGAGTTGACGGCATTGACAGCAGAGGGAGGGACAGACACACTGATGGAAAGACAATCAGTACCCATGGGAGGGGACATGGGGTTCTCGGCCTTGCCAACAAATAACAGTGTGTGTACATATATGCGTGTACCCGCACATGCATGTGTGTGCATGTGTGTGCACACGTATGTGCGTGTGGGCTGTGTCCCAAGCTTGCATAATACCAAAAACACTTAACTATCCAGCCACACAGGGAGTGGGAAATAGCCAGGGCTGGACAACAGGTGCTCAAATGAGGACACAGAGGAAGCCACACATGGACAGACAGAGGCATGACAGGGAGGACAGGACCCACTGACCGAGGATGGAGACCTTGCTGAGAAATTCCTCATACATCTTGCGTTTTCTCAGCGTGCTGCCCTGTTTGGGAGAAAGAAAAACACAGAGTAGAAAGCGGCTCTTCGTGCCTGAATCATGTTGACATTTCCACATTCCCCCAAATGACTCTGAACTCTTAAAAGGAGACCCTTTAAGCATTCCGAATGCCAAAAGCCCCTCAAATGATCAGGCATCTCTGTGAACTGCCACCGTCTCCTACGCCCAGCTTCTCCTCCCTCCTTCTGGGAAGTTTCTGAAGGGGCTTCCACCACAGTTTCTAACTGCCCCGGCCGGCAACAGAGGACCCCATCCAGCTGGGCCAGTTACCGCTCCACAAGCAGAGCGCACGACCAGAGCCCTGTTTCTAGTTTTCTACGAACTGAGGTGGGGAGGGTCGCAATCTAGGATGGTGAATGCAGGGAGCTGTCTGCAGACAGGGTCACCTGGCCTACCCCACAATCCCCCCATCCACCTACAACCACACCTCTGGAGAGAAACTGAAGCCAACACACAGAATCACACCACGGGATGTCAAAGAGAGAGCGCAGCTGACGTTGGCTCAGTCCCTGGATCCAGACATGCCTGAAGCGGGATCCACCTGCATCATTCCTAGTTTCTTTGAACCAATAAATTACGCCTCCTCCAATAAACGTATGATGAACAAGACAGAACCAATAAACAGGGCCCTGTCAGCCGTTCTATGAATTAGAGATTGGAATTCATTCTGGAAATTAGAATTAGAGATGTCAATTAGGAAAAGGCACACGCCTCAGCAAGCTGATGGGCTCTGTGCAAACGAGAACAAGGCCCCACCTCCAGGCGGTCAACACCAGCCTGGGAAGGAGAAAGCAGCCTGGACCTCGGCCCCTCTCGCCCCTCCACCTCGTGCCTTTGTACAGCACACAGGCTCCATGACCGCCCACAGCAGCCCTGCTGGTGAGTACTGTTCAGCACTGAGCATTCAGAAAACAGACAGGTACAGTCCACCAGGCAAGCAGTAAGCCTGGTTTTGTTAAAATTCAAACAGCCTCAT